TTACCGGTGAAACTGGGTGGGGGTGGCAGGGAGGGAGAAGAAAACAAGAATACCTAAAGTTTTCCTCGCTGTCTGTCCGAAGAAGTTTGTCAGCACTCTTGCGCCTTCATTCTTTCCTAGTTTTTAATCAAACTTCACATTATTGTAAAGAATTTAAATATCTTGGACAATTTCAAGGTAATCGGGGCAAGACAAGGTCACTATTACTATTTTAGAAAATCTTTGTCAGCACTCTAGTGCCTCATTCTTTCATGGATTTTAGTCAAACTTCACATTATTGTAAAAAATTTCAATATATTGGACAAGTTCAAGTTTCAAGGTCCTCAGATCTAGGTTGAGGTCACTGTTGCATCTTAATAGATTGCGGGGGCCGGTAGGGGACATGTATTGCTTCAGCAATACTCAGTATGCTTGTTTATATATGGTAATACTATACCCAATTAAGTTTCACTATTACATTATTTAAGCAAACTGATTTTTTATGCATACATCTCTTTGTATTTCAACACTTAATGTCATCAAGAGTTTGTTCCCTTGGTCCACATTAGTTCACTGTTGTTTTGTAATTCTATTAAGATGCATGAAGATTGCTGTATTGTAAAACGTATTGTTTGATTGACAGATGTTCTACAGATGATGGGGCGGGCTGGACGACCACAGTTTGATGACAATGGAGTGGCAGTCATTCTTGTCCATGATATAAAAAAACATTTCTACAAGAAGTTCCTCTATGAACCTTTTCCTGTGGAATCAAAGTAAATACCTATATATCCTGTATAGACTTATATATCCTATAGATACTTGTATTTCCTCTAGATACCTGTATTTCCTCTAGATACCTGTAACTCCTCTAGATACCTGTAACTCCTCCTCTAGATACCTGTAACTCCTCTAGATATCTGTATTTCCTCTAGATATCTGTATTTCCTCTAGATACCTGTAACTCCTCTAGATACCTGTAACTCCTCTAGATACCTGTAACTCCTCTAGATACCTGTATTTCCCATAGATACATGTATTTCCTCTAGACACCTGTATTTCCCATTGATACTTATATTTCCTATAGATACTTGTATTTCCTCTAGATATCTGTATTTCCTCTAGATACCTGTAAATCCTCTAGACACCTGTATTTCCCATTGATACTTATATTTCCTCTAAAACCTTTATTTCCCATAGATACTTGTATTTCCTCTAGACACCTGTATTTCCCATAGATACTTATATTTCCTCTAAACCTTTATTTCCCATAGATACCTGTATTTCCTCTAGATACTTGTATTTCCTCTAGATACATGTACTTCTCATAGATACCTGTATTTCCTCTAGATACCTGTACTTCCCATAGATACTTGTATTTCCCCTAGATACCTGTACTTCCCATAGCTACTTGTATTCCCTCTAGATACCTGTACTTCTCATAGATACCTGTATTTCCTCTAGATACCTGTCCTTCCCATAGATACTTGTATTTCCTCTAGATACCCGTATTTCCTCTAGATACCTGTATTTCCTCTAGATACATGTACTTCCATATATACCTGTATTTCCTCTAGATAGATGTATTTCCTCTAGATACATGTACTTCCCATGGATACTTGTATTTCCTCTAGATACATGTACTTCCCATATATACCTGTATTTCCTCTAGATACCTGTACTTCCTCTAGATACCTGTACTTCTCATAGATACCTGTATTTCCCATAGATACTTGTATTCCCTCTAGATACCTGTACTTCTCATAGATACCTGTATTTCCTCTAGATACCTGTACTTCCCATAGATACTTCTATTTCCTTTAGATACCTGTATTTCCTCTAGATACATGTATTTCCTCTAGATACCTGTATTTCCTCTAGATACCTGTATTTCCTCTAGATACCTGTACTTCCAATAGATACTTGTATTTCCTCTAGATACCTGTATTTCCTCTAGATACATGTACTTTCCATATATACCTGTATTTCCTCTAGATACATGTATTTCCTCTAGATACCTGTACTTCCCATAGATACTTGTATTTTCTCTAGATACCTGTTTTTCCCTTTGATACTGAAGTATCTGTTCTTCCAATCTAATCACAACACCAGTTTATCCTGTAAATGACCTTAACATAGATAGATAACATACTGTACCTTTTTATAGATATCCTTTATTTCCCATAGATACTTGTATTTCCATTAAATACTAACTATATTTCCTATCATGACAACAGGTTTGTATGCCGAAATAATCTGAATTTAGGTAGATAACACACTTTTTGAAGTTATTTTTCTATGAATATTTACCTATATGTATTAGAGTGTGTGTTATGTAGGTATTAGGGATAGGGAAACCCTACTCTTGGGTGTAGAATTGTGTCAGATTGGAGGTTGTGCCAAAGGTCTGACCCCTAATGCTACAACCCATCATAGAATCTCACTGTATTCTCCATAGCTTACATAACGATTGACTCTTTGACTTCCACCTCTAACACAGGAAACGGCAAAAGCAGCAATGACGTTGACATTTTAAATGTGAATGCAAAAATATCAAAATGAAAATCGATTTTCTATATAACATGCAAAATTACCAAGAACATACCTGTATTTCTTGTATTCAATATAGATAGATGTATTTCTTTATTATATTGTAAATGTATGTTTTGCAGATGCCCCATCTCCTATTGATACCTGTAATTTTAGGTAGATACCTGTAAGTCTGGTAGATACCTGTAATTTTGATAGATACCTGTAACTCTGGTAAATACCTGTAATTCTGGTAAATACCTATAATTCTTGTAGATAACTGTAATTCTGGTAGATATCTGTTATTCTGGTAGATATCTGTAATTCTGGTAAATACTTATAATTCAGGTAAATACCTGTAATTCTGGTAAATACCTATAATTCTGGTAGGTTACCTGGTACCTGTATTCTAGGTAGATATCCATATATCTGGTATATACTGTAATTCTGTAGATACTTGTTATTCTGGCAGATACCTGTAATTCTGGTAGAAATCTGAAATTCAGGTAGATACCTGTAAAATTCTGGTAAATACCTGTTATTCTGGTTGATACCTGTTATTCTGGTAGATACCGGTAATTCTGGTAGATACTTGTTATTCTGGTAGATACCTGTTATTCTGGTAGATACCTGTTATTCTGGTAAATACCTAAAATTCTGGTAAATACCTAAAATTCTGGTAAATACCTGTAATTCTGGTAAATACCTGTAATTCAGGTAGGTTACCTGGTACCTGTATTCGAGGTAGATATCCATATATCTGGTAGATACTTGTAATTCTAATAGATACTTGTAATTCTGGAAGATAACTGTATTTCAATAAAGTAACTGTAATATTCTTGTAGATACCTGTATTTTTGGTAGATACCTGTATCATTTTTACCTGTATTTCTAGCCTACTTGATGTGCTACCTGACCATCTGAATGCTGAGATTGTAGCAGGGACAATAGCCTCCAAACAGGATGCAATGGACTACATCACCTGGACCTACTTCTTCAGGCGGCTCGTCATGAATCCAAGGTAGGTCTTAATTGTTTATTTATATAACCCAAGGGAGATAACTCTTCTAAGCCTAAGGAGCGATCAGAGGAACCGCCACATAAGTTGTCTATTGCAATGCAGAAAATTGCTTTTCAGTCGACTTTTTACAGCATGTTTCATGTTTGCTGAATTTTATTTGTTGAAATGTTCTATTCCAGGGTCGTGTGTAACACTCTGTGTGAGTAATGCTCTACACTCTCTGTAGATTATGTTGAAAGTACATCCATGTACCTGAAAAAACGACATTTTTTGCAGCTTTGATTAATGTTGTGTATTCATAGAATGGGTTGAAAGTACAAACTTGTACCTGAGAAAGACATTTTTGCAGCTATTTGTGTGATATATGGACATGTACATCCATCATAAATACTTTGGAAGTGGGAATCGGCTGCAGAACATGATATATAGTGACCATCAGATGGTCAGCACATCTGACGAGTCTGCTTAGAGGAATCTGTTGTGTATATGGTAAAATGTTTTACTTTATCTGCTATCAACACTGAGTGATGCCAGTTTTGTTTTAATGTTATTTGAGGAATTTTTAGATAGAGAACTGTTCATTTTATTAAAAGATATAAAAAAAAAACATTCAAGAAAGTAAGTTGTGTTTGGTGAGTACAAATACTATGCATAACATGACTTAATATAAATAGGGCTTTTTTGGGGGGAAGGGGTCTTTTTGTCTCATATTAGGAAGAAAATATAGCAATCGGAAAGGAAATTTCCACAAATTTTGGAAATAAGGCATGCATATGAAATAGTTTCAGTTGGGAATGGGGCCATTATTGGCCCCAAAAAGTCCCCAGAAAACCCCTAGCTGACGTACAACCAGAATCTAGGTGTATCAAGCGCCATTAAGTAATGACATACCTAGTAAACTATGGTATATTTTTTGACAGACACCTTTAAACGTTTGATGCAATAGCTTCTCTTCATCATCGTGTTATCAGCCCAGAAATGTATTGCACAACGTATGTTTATATACTTTGGAAAAGAACTTGTACAAACATAGAATTCTGCCAATTCTTCTGTTATGTACTTTATACACGAGAATAGAAATTTGCCAATTTTCAATGTATACATGTGTCAGGAATTACCCCAAGATTCACTTTACTATCTTTGTTTTTAATCGTGAATTATGCCAGGCCTTGTGTACGCCAACAGCTCATCTTCTTTTGGACATATCTCTTCGAGGAGCTATCTCATACATCAGTGTCGCTTCAGGAAAATTTAATGTATATCTTGTTCCGAAATCTCAGGCGTACAAAAGTCTGACTGGAACTGCCATATCTTTTGCAGTTTTGTGGTGCCAGACCGTTCATCGTTGCAGGTCTTGGTATATTAGGTGGACTGTAATATATAGCGACATCCATCTCTTGTTACAGTATATAACTCACTTCTAATTCCTATATAATCACTTCAGAATGCATCAAGTATATGTGTCCATTTAAACTGACCAGAGGGTTATCATAGTTTATATAATAAATGATCAAATCTACTTTATATTTTCCCCTAGATGATTTTGATTTTAAAATGCTAATTTTTTAATTTATTTCATTCTTTTACCGTAAAAAACATACACTACATGAGGTATTGTTTTCAATTGACTTCATTTGTACAAATGCAGATTATAGATCTTTCAATGTTCCTGTCACAGATTCAAATATTTTAAAAGGAATCATTTGAAATGCAGTTTCAAAAATATGTGCGCAAGACAATAACTAAAACAAAAAGATTTATTGCCTTTTTTCCATTCTGTACCACAATCAAGAAACAATACCCTTTATACAAAATTGTCCAAGGAATTCAGATGATGCTGGGGTTGTTTGAGGTTTGCAAAAATATACAAGATTCAATGGGATGTAAAAGGCTTGCTGGAATGACTGCATGTTGCTGGAATGTACAAGGTTCACTAAGATGTATGAAGCTCACTAGTATTGGGATGTATAAGGTAGGCCACTTGGATGTATAAGGTAGGCCACTGGGATGTATGAAGCTCACTGGGATGTATATATATGGTAGGCTGCTGGAATGTATGAAGCTCACTGGAATGTACAAGGTTCACTGGGATCTATGAAGCTCACTAGTACTGGGATGTATAAGGTAGACCACTGGGATGTATAAGGTAGATCACTGGGATGTATAAGGTAGGCCACTGGGATGTATGAAGCTCACTGGGATATATGAAGCTCACTGGGATGTATATATATGGTAGGCTGCTGGAATGTATGAAGCTCACTGGAATGTACAAGGTTCACTGGGATTTATGAAGCTCACTAGTACTGGGATGTATAAGGTAGGCCACTGGGATGTATAAGGTAGGCCACTGGGATATATAAACTAGGTCACTGGGATGTATGTGGCTCACTGAGTTGTATAAGCTATCCCACTGGGATGTATAAGGCTCATTGGGGTGTATAAGCTAGGCCACTGGGATGTATGAAACTCACTGGGATGTATAAGGTAGGCCACTGGGATATATAAACTAGGCCACTGGGATGTATGAAGCTCACTGGGATGTATAAGGTAGGCCACTGGGATGTAGGAAGCTCACTGGGATATATGAAGCTCACTGGGATATATTAGTTAGGCCACTGAGATGTAGGAAGCTCACTGGGATGTATATGCTAGGCCACTGGGATGTATGAAGCTCACTGGGATGTATAAGGTAGGCCACTGGGATGTATGAAGTTCACTGGAATGTATAAGGTAGGCCACTGGGATGTATGAAGCTCACTGTGATATATGAAGCTCACTGGGATGTATAAGGTAGGCCACTGGGATGTATGAAGCTCACTGGGATATATGAACTCACTGGGATGTATAAGGTCGGCCACTGGGATGTATGAAGCTCACTGGGATATATGAAGCTCACTGAGATGTATATATATGGTTGGCTACTGGGATGTATGAAGCTCACTGGAAAGTACAAGGTTCACTGGGATTTATGAAGCTCACTAGTACTGGGATGTATAAGGTAGGCCACTTGGATGTATAAGGTAGGCCACTGGGATATATAAACTAGGCCACTGTGATGTATGAAGCTCACTGGGATATATGAAGCTCACTGGGATGTATATATATGGTAGGCCACTGGGATATATAAACTAGGCCACTGGGATGTATGTGGCTCACTGAGTTGTATAAGCTATCCCACTGGGATGTATAAGGCTCATTGGGATGTATAAGGCTCATTGGGATGTATAAGCTAGGCCACTGAGATGTAGGAAGCTCACTGGGATGTAATATAAATGCTAGGCCATTGGGATGTATGAAACTCACTGGGATATATAAACTAGGCCACTGGAATGTATGTGGATCACTTGGGATGTATAAGCTAGGCCACTGGGATGTATAAGGCTCATTGGGATGTATAAGCTAGGCCACTGGGATGTCTGAATTAGCTCACTTAGATGTATAAGCTATATGCCACTGGGCTGTATGAAGCTCACTGGGATATAAACTAGGCCACTTGGATGTATATGGCTCGCTTGGATGTTTATGCTAGGCCACTTGGATGTATGTGGCTCACTGGGATGTATATGCTAGGCCACTTGGATGTATGTGGCTCACTGGGATGTATAAGCTAGGCCACTAGGATGTCTGAATTAGCTCACTGGGATTTATAAGCTAGGCCACTTTGATGTATGTGGCTCACAGGGATGTATAAGCTAGGCCACTCTGAATTAGCTCACTGGGATATATATATATACTAGGCCACTGGAATGTATGTGGCTCACTAAGATATATTAGTTAGGTCACTGGGATGTGTGAAGCTCACTGGGATGTATATGCTAGGCCACTGGGATGTATGGAGCTCACTGGGATGTATATGCTAGGCCACTGGGATGTATGTGGCTCACTGGGATATATTAGTTAGGTCACTGGGATGTGTGAAGCTCACTGGGATGTATATGCTAGGCCACTGGGATGTATGTGGCTCACTGGGATATATAAGTTAGGCCACTGGGGTGTTTATGCTAGGCCACTGGGATATGAGGCTCACTGGGATGTATAAACTAGGCCACTGGGATATATGAAGCTTACTGGGATGAATGAGGCTTGATGGAATTTATAGGCTCACGGGGATGTACAAGGCCTCTGGGATGTATGAGGCTTGTAGGGATGTATGAGGCTCACTGGGATGTATTTGCTAGGCCACTGGGATGTATGAAGCTCACTGGGATGTATAAACTAGGCCACTGGGATGTATGTGGCTCACTTGGATATATAAACTAGGCCACTGGGATGTATGAAGCTTACTGGGATGAATGAGGCTTGATGGAATATATATAGGCTCACTGGGATGAACAAGGCCTCTGGGATGTATGAGGCTTACTGGGATGTATGAGGCATGATGGGATGTATGAAGCCCACTGGGTTGTATGGGACTCATTTGAATGTATAAGAGGCTCAATTGGATTATGAGGTGGCTGGGATGTATGAAGCTCACTTGGAGATGTATGAAGCTTACTAAGTTGTAAGAAGCTTAATGGGATTATGAGGCATGCTTGGATGCTTGAGTCTTGCTGGAATTTACAAAGTTGACCCAGGGATGTGTGAGGCTTGCTTGGTTGTATGAGTCTCACTGGGTTGTAGGAGGCTCTCTGAAGTGACAGTAAATATAATTTGAACATGAGTATGATCTGTTCTTTCCGTTTTCTGATCATATATCTAGTGAAGGAAATGTAACCTACGAACTGCTTCGGGGCTTGAATCTTGCTCGATGACTTACAGGTGATAAATATTCCAGAGATAAGATGTACCATCTTAACCATTTTCAGCTTATAAAACATATTTACCTACCACCATTACTGCTTTTAGGATTTGTTGGAAAGGATAATGCAAGTCTTGTTTTTTTGTGGAGCTGACAGTGATGTATACAAGATGTCTATAGACAGTTCATCAATGGTTTATAACTTCTCTTTACTGTGTACTTATACATGACTGTCTAAATTATTTACAAGAAACTTTTTTTCGGAAACGAAAATACCGGAATTAAGAGAGTATTCTGTGTGTTGGGGGCCTCAATATGAAATACAAACAGTTTGATGTATGTTTTTTTATTGACATTAAATCTCCTCTTCTAATCCCCCACAACCCTGTTTTAACTAGTCCCCAGCACGGATAATGGATCCTGTACTTAGGGTTCTTACTCTATTTTGTTCACGACCTAGTTAACGGTAGAGAGTCTCAGCACTTTTCCTCTGTTTGCAAGCCTTGAACAAATATTTTCGTGTTTAATTTACATTATATCCTTCATGTTCGTACAAAGACAATAACACTACATGCTGTGGTTCTTTTGAGGGAGTAATACAACATTTTGAAATATTTCCTGTAACAAGTGGATGAGCTTCTTGTTTTATGATTAAAAGGTCTGGGGAGTTAATCCCTATAGCAGTGGAGAGGTTTTTGTGGAAGATGCAATTTAATGTACAAGAACTCCCTAGTTAGACAATGCTCCAATAAACATCTTATCCATTGGAGATACAACTGGACACAGCTGGGACTCAATACTTTAATATATATGGTTGTATAGTCCGCTACACAAATGTTTCATGATTATATAAGTATTTCATAAAGAATATGCTTGAGGATAATTCCCTCATTGGAGAAGGTGGTAAAAAAAAGGCGGAAGTTAAACTGCCACAAAATAATATCCTGGAACAAGGCAGCTATATAGATGTAATGAGAATATCAATGTACGTTCTTTGTAAGTTTCCAGGCAGTAGAAATATTTTGTTGGTGACTGACGAACTCTGCAAGATTCTGTTCTTGTACATAAGAACAGTTCATGAACAGTTCTAGAACCTCAAGAACAGTTCTTGAACTGTTCTGTATCATTGTTCTAGAACATATATTCTTAAAATGTTCTTGAACATTTTGAAGAACTGTTCTAGAACATTTCTAGAACTTTCAGTTTTCTTAAAATGTTATTGAACAAGCTCAAGAACAGTATATGAACGTCAATGAGACAAATTGTCAAGAACTGTTTGATCTAAAACAGTTCTAGAACTAAATGACTGGAGGAGTTCTAGAACAATAAGTTTAAGAACTATTCTAGAACAATCAGTTCTTGACAATTTGTCTCATCTAACAGTCATGTACTGTACTTGAACTAGCTGTTCCGAACAGTTGAAGAAAAGTTCTTGCCCTTTCCTTCTAGAGCAGTTCAAGAACAGTTACTGCATTGTTCAAGAAAGTTTCACAGGGGTTTTATTTTGATCCTAACCCAGTTTATGTCTGTCTGTGCTACGAACAGTTTATCAGTGGAATGACATGGTCTGTCTGTCTGTCTGTCCATCTTTCTATCTATACTGCAAGTTTGTAAGTGGAGTAACTCAAGTCTCTCTCCATCGATACTAGTTTGTTAGTGGAGTAACCTAATCTGATCTGTACAGCCTGTATTTGTTTCCTACTATCTTCTGTCTATCATCCATAAAGTCTGGGTTTTTTGTGCAAGATTGGATAAGTGATTATAAAATGTGTGGTCCCAAGGAGGATGTAAGTTAAATTATCATAATGTTGATATTTTTTTCTCCAAGAATAGTGTTGATTTTTCAAAGGTGTCTGACCAACCCTTCTTTATTATAAATATCAACAGCCTTTATTGTGAAATTGTTAGGTAAAATCATCCTGTTTGAAGTCATGCATGTATGTCTGACCGCCTTGAGTGGTAACACTACTGCAAACATACATATTCTAGCGCTTTTTGAAGTTTTGGTATATTGTTTTCTATTTCAAATATTGTGAGTGCGCAAATTCCGCAATGTGCTAATCTGTTAAAATTTGATAAAGCACTATAATTACTGTCGCTAAGATAAAGCACTATAATTACTGTCGCTAAGATAAAGCACTATAATTACTGTCGCTAAGATAAAGCACTATAATTACTGTCGCTAAGATAAGACTTCACAGTATTCTTTTCTTATCAATACAGTCAGCAAAATTCTTCGGACAAGTCATTGTCATCAACAAATGAAAAAAACAATGCAAAATAGTTTTATATGATTTTTTATTAATTTTCATGACATATAAATACTGTGCCCCATCTTTTGGCCTTGCAAAGATGTTCATACAGCAACAAGTTAAATTATTTAAATTATTTAATACATGTACATCAAATGTCTCATAATAATAAATACTCAAATTTTAATTTAACACAAATAATTAATTTTATGATAATTTATTAACTCTTTAATACATTTTACTCACTCCTTGCTTTCTCTCTCTGCTCCTACTTCCTGATCTGTCTCTCTCCATATATCTCTTTCTCTTTCTATCTCTCTCTCTCTCTCTGTCGTTATATATATATATATATCTGTAAGTAACAACTACTAGCGTAGCTAACATGATGCCATTTTACGTGTATGTTTTTGATTATCTCATTTTTCTTCATTTACTACCCATTATGTATTAATTATTATAAACAAATTATTGGATAGAAATTTTGCAACTTGTTTTTAAGGAAAATTAGATCTTATTAAATTATGACTAAAAAATAACACAAGATTCCTCTTGTTTAAGGATTTATCAAAACAAAGAGATCTAGAAACAGCCAAGTTGTATGTTACACAATTTGGAGATTTTCCATTAGAGTCGGGGAATGGCTTATGGAATGGAAATGAATGTTCTAATCTAGAACATGTGCATGCATGAATGTGATTCTCAATAAATTAAATGCCATGTGCATCAAATATAGTCTAATAAGTGGTGTATATATTGTAGTCAGCACTGGCATACCTTAATTCAATAGATTAGGACTAGATGAAACCAAACGAAATAAAACACTAGTGTATCACAGACGATCGTCCCGAAAATGTTCTCACATGTGCTTATGTTTTAGACAGCAGTGTAAAAGTGATTATATATAGAAGCCCAGAAATTATAGGCTCATCCCAAGACACAGCAGCTTTTGGGCAAAGCACAGTATCGTTCATAATCAAACTGATTCTTGCTATGTTTGTAAAAAAATTTTAACGAATGCCTAATTACTGAGTTAGGTGTCATTGTCATACCATCGTTATACAGAGGCACACAGAGAACATTCCCCAGGCACCTAATACATACATATACATGTTACATTGTAACACACAGTCATGGTCACTTCCTATATCTCCCCAGTACACTATATCCACCCTACCACAATTTTAATTTGCAAAAAATAACCTATCTCAGCACTAAATAATATGTAAAATTCTGATGTTTTTTTTGTTTCAGTTGATTTGATTTGAATCCATGTTTTGAAACAGGACTCTTTTCCAACAAAAATGATAATACATGAATAGAAATTTGGTTATTTAACAAAATATGTTGATATTCAATTACTGATTGATTATGTGGACAAAGCTAATTTATAACATCAATAATAAATTAGTGTGTCAACTCTGTTTACATAAACTCTGTGGAAACAGAAAAATCCAGAATGATGTATGCATGGAATAATCAATTATGATTTAGTTTGTCCAGGTATCAACATCAATGAATTAAATGTTACTGGCCAATCAAGATATGTGCGCTTTACAGATAATTGCCTAGCAACAAATTTATATCAGAGTTAAAAAAAATATTAAAACATATAAATTCCAAAATCCTATTGATGTTTTGCATAGTTTTCAGGGTTATTTGCATTTCTGGATTTTGGATTCTGAAAAAAAATATTATTAGAACAAATTTAATAAAACTTTCAAAGCTGAATATTTTGAAAATAGGGACAGATAGGTGAAAAAAGATCAGAGAAATTAGATAGATATAAAAGTGGAGTGTAATCATATAACTGATAAATAGCCAACCTTGATGTGTGAGAGTATGTGGAATATTGATATATAAGCTATAGGCTTGGTATATCTAGCACTGTACACTAGCTATACACACCATGAAATATTGAACATGAGTCTATATACAATGAATAAATTAGAAAAATCATTATTTAGAGTGTTATTGCACATCACTTATCAACGTGTGGTTCCGTAGTCAACATTGCACAACCTTGTAACCGTTTTACCGAACAGAGAAAGATGGGTACACCACATCAGGTATTGTGTAGTCACCTGGTAACGCCGTCAGCTCAGGTGTATGGATTTTACCCGTCAATCTACTCCTCCCTCTAGTTCAAACTCTCAGGTAGAGTCATCAGTCCTAACTCACCTGTGTTTACTCAGGTAGAAAACACAGATAAAAAAACGGCACTTTTTTATCACAGAAAAAAATCTTGTCTTTTTTACATAATTCCTAAAATCTACTGTTCCAGCACACAATTCATACTTGTAACTGTTTGTGTTTTAACCACTGTAGGCAGGAAATCATGTTAGTCAATGTAATACTCAGTAATATAAAATATTGTCCTTTGATGAAAAGTTTTGGAAGTCACCTCTTCCATTGTACGGTACATTATACACTTTTCTTTCACTTGTCCTCCTTTGTGAAATGGAATATTGATGATATGATTGGCTGGATTAGATCCAAGGTCATGATCAAGGTCACATGTAAAAGTTGTAGCTGCACTTAGTTTGTGTGTGATGATGGGAGATCAAATCTCGCTGCTCCATCATATGTGAGATCACAAGGGGAAAAAATGCTGATTTCCTCTCAACAGTCAACGTAGTTGTAACAAACGTCCGTCCGCGGGATTGCGTTCTGTTGAAACTCGTTGCTGTTTCTGTAGCCTGGATTTTGTACCTCAATAAACTGGTTCTTATCCCTCCTCCTCTTCCTCTCTCGTGACCTGTAAAAAAGTAAGATTATAAAATATAAATAAAAGTCTTTTTACTTTGGGATGTCAAGTGGAAAAACTGTTCCCTTTATATCAGTTAGTTGATACTGTATTGTAAAGGTTTTAAATTATTCTTGATTGAAATATGAAATAAATTCAAGTCTGAAGTGACAAAATGCTGTTGACTTTGTAAGATTACTTGAGATGATGAAAGATACGTACCATTTGACAATGAGGAGAACCAACAGGATGACCAACACAAAACTTAGTGTACCGATGACTCCGCCTACGATGGCAGCTGTAACACAGAACAAATCACGTTCACTCAACACGCCATCACTTCATTTAATGTCCATAACATAATCCAAATAATTTTACGTGAATATTTTCACAAGAAGAAATCATAAAAAAGGCATTGATAAGACGATCGACTTACAAAGAATTTAGAATTTATTTGATTTTTGAAAAGTAATATTTTTACCAAATGTAAAGCTTTAATTGATTTGAGTTTTGAGAAGTAAAATTCTTACCGAACGGCAATGTTTTTGCTTTATCCACATTGACATTGTTGACAGTCTTGGTGATGGGGATGATGTGCTTTGGTGACAGAGTGTGCTCCCCTGTGGTACTACTTGGTGCCACTGGCTGTGGTGTCTTGTGATTGGTTGCCATAGGCGAGGTTGGTCGCTGAGTGGTGGTTGTCAGTGCTGGTGTGGCTGTAACAAATACAAGAGCAGATAAGTATCGGGAGGGAAAATATTAAAAGAAATAATTACAGCTTATGATTTCAAAATTGTATTACAAAATTTGCTTAAAATTACGTTGCGTCATGTTTCTTACCTTCATAGTACAGCCAGAATCCCTTGTAGTTGTTTCTACTGTTGGTTGACAGTCGAAGTGTAAGGTTTTTCCAGGAGACAGGACTTGGCTCGTTCCCGCGTTTACCACAGAGGGTAAGAGACTGTATGGTGTCCTGAGCAAGCATAAAGTCGGAACATGTGCTGCTGGCCATCTCAAGGTCAAGGTCAAGGATGTAGAGCTGGAGGTGTTGGTAGCTCTCCACCTGAATGCGTGCTGTACAGTTGATGTTGGACCCGTAGTTGTTGGGGTAACCCGGGGTGATAATGTAACCCTGCTGGGCTGTGATCACAGGAGAGTCACAGATATTTTTTGTGTCCGACACTAAAAAGACAGAAAAAGTACAGCTCTGTTAAAGTATATGTTAAACCAAGCAAATTTCAATAAAATGTAACTTGAAACTAGTTAAATATCACTGCAGCAGAATGAAAGCATATTGTGATCAATTTCAGAAACTGTTAATTTAGAGGGTATATTAATTCAAGGTCACAAACATTTGTTGTGATACAAAGATTATTCAGTGTTAAATTTTAAATCTACTTCCAAGGACTTTTGCAGGGAAATTAAAAGAAACAGTTCTTCAAATAATGTAATACTTAATTATGCCATAAATATTGAATACCAGTTTGGAGAATTTGTCTGGACAGACCAACATGTATAAGGTATTTAATTGGTGTTTAAAGAAGCCTGACTTTGTTTTATTTGTGTTTAAACCAAATTATCGCACATAACCCTGGCTATATTTATACTGGGGTTATGGTTTACTGTATCCTTGTACTTGCAAGGAAAGCGATTCTAGGTCACAGCAATCTATAGATAATACCAAACAGTATGAGCCTTATTATTTTATCATGTTAAAAAAATGTAGAACAGAGACAGATTTGCATGTTTCTTTTTTAAACAACTACACTTTGTTTCAGGTAAAATATTTTTTTATAAAGTTGGATTGCTTTGTGTGAAATTCACATTTGTCTATTAAATATTTATTATCTTGAACAAGTAGTGTATGTGTGTAGTTGTGCCTGGTTACTGCTGTAAACCTAACAGCTGAGATAGTCTAACAGAATTTACTATAGCCTCTTTATCAACTGTGCGTAAATATTTGAGAAACCAACATCTGGTGTGTTTCCCCGCCAAACTCATAATAGATAAGTTCAAGTTTAAAAATACTTTTACATTCAGCATACTGGTACTCTACACGTTTTGAACGAACAGATGAAAATGAGAGACAGATGCAAGCATCACAATGCAAGCTGTTGATAGGCTGAGCACCGAAAAACAAGCCAGGCAGATGGGCCTGCTGTCTTTGTTCCCCTCGCGACACAAATAACCTGAGGCCGTCAGCCGACCATTCACCTATACAGATATTCGCTCAAGGATTCAGAATTAAATTATCAAAATTAAAGGCGGGCTGGCGGCACGCGTTTGTCATCAGCTGAACACTTCTTAGGATCTGATAGAATTTAAACTAAAGCTTCATGTGGTAATTGGGGAGAAAGCGTGAAGTTGTCGAGCCATTACAGACCATAGTTGTAAAATCAGTGTTCCTGAAATTATCCTCAAAGCGTAAAATGTATTAAATTATTCATTGCATGGAGAAAAAGTGTAAGGATATGAGCACTAGTGTGTTGTACAGGTTTATTGTCATGATTGACGGTACTAAGGTTTACAATGGCCTCCCTGGTTGTAATATGATCTTTTTTCGGGTGTATGCAGATTGTTGGTTTGTGGTTTTCGGGTTAAAGACAATTACCTATGCATGTAATGCAATACAGTAATTGGATATATTTTAAAACGAAAAAATTCTGACAGAACTACAAAAAAAAAGAACTATCAGGATTGTTATTCACCTGTCACTCACTTGACTTGCTGATTGTGACGTAATCTTTGATAGACGATACGTTAAAGTTGTTACGAGATAGATCACCATTATCTCAGTGCCTGCAGACAATTTAGATTAAGCAAGAGATAATATTTTTAAAACTTTATTATATTCAATATTTAATTCATGATATTGTTTACTCTGACTATCTTTGTGTATATAATTCTTCAACTTTTAGTGCCACAGATTTCTTTACAGAGCACAAAACTAACAAATCAACAGATAGGATTTAATGAATTATTCATTAACTTATTGGATGGATAATTAGATAAAATTTGCACCGTTTTGACTCGTGTTAATTACTGGTAGTCATTTGTTTACCAGGGGACTGTGGTATCTGATGTGTTTAGACAGTGAAGTACAGCTTTGATCCTAACCTTGTTATTTCTTTACTATAAACATATTCCTTTGCCACTTGTAAGATGATCAACTTACAAAAATACGGAGTCTTGTGCCGTATCTTATGACACTGGCGTATCATCTATTTATCAATTATGAACAGAGAGTTGACTTTTCACTCTGCACTGTTGATACACAATGTTCATTAGAGAGGACTGGAGTCCTTATTAAAGCCCTTTATTTAACACATTAGGGTGACGCCCAGTCGGTGCTGAGGCGCGTGCAGAGGGAAGGTGCTCTCCCTGGCCTGATTGGTTACAGATGCTGGTGTCGACAGTTGATGGACCTCTTGAAATTTTGGTTTGAAGATTGCCGACTTGTTTAGACATTAGTCGGGGAGTTACCACAGATTATGTCCTGTCCAGCTGTATTTGTTTCTTATGTCCTTCTCTAATAAGCTAGGTCTGGTTTTGTTTTTCTACTTGACTTCCTGTGGAGTGGTCAGACGTTTTGTTATATTTTTGAGGGTATCTCAGTGAGGGAGTCATGTTTGTAGGGGAGGGGGGAGGGGTGACTGGCTGGTCATATCGGGTAAAAACTTCCCTGTGGTCCCTGGTCGTGGCACGTGCCACGCTTAAACCTGCCATGCCAAAATTTCTTCACTTCATGCAGAGATTTAGCTCAACAATTACATTGGTTCTATACCAGATGGATTTTTTTCCAAATGGAATTTCTGGTATGATTTCTATAAGAATATAAAACTGTATCTATATGGCTTGTGTCAGTGACTTTTGCACTATATTTATTATGACCAGATGTAGAGGAATTTTATCACTATTTCTTATTACAGCCATATGTAGACAGATTTTATTGCCGGAGGAATATTTAGGTAACACAGTTAGTTGTCTATATACATGCATCCATTTGATGATAAAACTTAACATATGTGAACAAATAAATTCTAAGATTTAATAGAATTGAATGGCTAGAATTTAGATATCAAAACTTGTATTTTACTTTGCCATCACAAAAATTTGATCAAATTTCATTGCTGTTGGTTTTAAAACAGTATAATAAATGTATAATATGTATTAGTTAATTGACCTATAGTGATATTCTATAAGCCTGTATACTATAGATAGACAGCGTACCTGGGATGCACTCATATTCCACATGGAAGTAGTTGCTAGGTTTGTTGCAGGAGGAGATAACTCTGCCAACACCCCCACTGGGGAGGTTTATGGAACAGGATTCGCGCCCCACACAGGGGTAGAGTTTGCGTTCCTCTTCCACACAGTCTCCGGGCTGGAGACTGCACAGTCCGGCGGAGTTGTGTCCGTACAGTGTGCGAGTAATCCGTAACATGTAACCATATCCACACTTAAACGTCAGTGACTTCTGGGCGAAGCATGCACTGGCTGACATGGGTGTACCTGTTAGCACAAAAACATGAGGTGTTAGAATAATCTGTTCCTTAGCATTACACGAAGCTAGTGCCTGAACGATGTGTAAAATGCATACAACAGAGAAATGTATAAGAGCTTCAGAAGATATTGACAAGATATTGATTGTAACATTTTCATTGATAACCAGGATGATGCTGTTGAATTTTTTATAAATCAACATCAGATAATATTGGGAGTGAAGTGTGATGTATTGATACAGGATTGTCATAAGGGTACGTTAAACATTGTGCCAGACGTACCCCTTACCCTACTTTTATACCCACTAAATTGATGAGAGCTTAGCGGCTCTGATGTAAAACCTATTTATATGTTAATAAGCCCGTCTCTTTATACAAGGTTTGAAGTTTTGGAGACCTTTTGCCAACAAACAGTTCAAATCCCAGACAATTTCATTGGTTAAATTGGAAGAAAATTTAAAATGTAGTCCAATCAGTATAAGCAGGGATTTCGTCGTTAGGTTTAAACTTTAAATTTTGTGCCATCAATATTAAGGGCACTTCACACTTTTAACTAGCTTATTACCAGGTTTGTGTTTAACACTTCAGAGATACGATGTACCTTTGTTTGACGAAAAAATGTGACAAAGTGTCTTACATTGATAGAGTTTGTGAATTGTGTAGCACCTGGACAAATAGTCGAGCAAACTTTACCCCACATAGAAATGATCAGATATACAAATATGCAGGTTCCAAAAATTGTCAAATAAGTTTTTTAAGTTCAATTGTACTTTAACAAAATGAAAAATTAGCAATGCCAATAAGTATTAAAAGTTATGCAATATGAATATTTCAAGGTAAGATATTAATGAATATATTCAATTCAATTTATATATAATGTGTAATTATAGCGTTGTTTGTGGTACACACCCTGTGACTGGGTTATCTGTCATCAGTGTTATAAAGAGATTTTCTTGAGTATTTTGTAACTGGCCCATATTTTTTAAATGTAAGAATTAATTGTCTTGTGACAAAATAGATATGCTTATGCTATAGAAATATTAATGTTGGCAGGAAAAATATCAAAAAGTAGAAGAGGTAAGGTGTAATTCATAATTATGTTTCAACATGGTGGGAACAAGCTGATTTACAGGTGTAATCTGTCAGACCGATCTTTTATTGTGTATTGTAGGTATCTATTGTTTATTGTGATTTACATAAATCCATTCTAGTCTTAGTTCTATAACAATTGTTCTTATCTATTCAAATCAATTGATAACATCAAGATTTCATTGCATATCAGCAGATATGACCCGTGTGGAAACCTTACCAGTGTGTGAACTGAAATTTTATGGGAACCCACAACCCACCTGGAGAAGACACCCAAAATATCAAACTCGCAATTAGCACGTTACCACTTAAAAATTTAAATGATCAAGTCAGACAAATTTAAAATATGAATTAAACCTGTAAAATAAACCAATGACAGGATGAAATGTGTTACCTGCTAAGTCGTCCCTGATAAGACCTGTAGCATTGTGAAACAGAAAGTTTCTGTTAGATTACCTGTAATCAGTAAAAGTAATAAAGGTGACTTACCTGCCATACATTGTACAATCATGGTGAATGAAAGTATGGCCACACTGATGATTTTCTGTGAATATTCCATGGTTGATTTTGTGAACTGTTGTGGTAAGTTTTGTGCTGGGTCTAATCAGTACGCATGGTCCTCTGTATTTCTACCTGTAGGAACGGTAAGGTAAATGTTTATACTGATGATATCACAATGTCAGCCCTAACATCTATATCTGTCCAGCAACACACCTTGGTTAATCACAGAACACCTATCACTGCTGATCAAGTGACAGCTATGTGAAGAGGATATTTGAAATCTTTGGAGGTCTGCTGTGTTCACTATCTCATGTGCTGTGCGTAACTGGCTCCTGTCCAGAATGTGTGGGGCTTATATACTTGGGCCTGGCTCCTACCCCGACAGACAGGGATACCACAGCAATTTGAATGAGGGTCTAATTAAATTTTCCCCCTGATTGTTTGGGGCCCTTATCTTGCTCTATTGTAATGGGGACGTGATGTCCACAAACCCCTTACAATGGGCCAGCATCGTGCAGGGGGAGGAGCTGTCACCTAACTCCGCCCACTATGGCACACTCCGAGGGACACAGATGTTAACTACCCTATCTGTCCTCAAAATCAGAACTTGATATTTACATCAACCTTTATCAGACACGGCAATAATTTATTTGTTTTTTTCAATCCATTGTCTTTTAAAATCCATTGTTTTATTATTTTTGATTTTATCAGCTGTTTAAATTCTTGCTGAAATGCAAATACCTTAAAGGCATCCAGCTAGTGATAGAAGTCGTGTTGACTTTTATATACTATTACAGGTAAACTTACTCCAAAGTCCGCCAAAATCTTAACACCTGTCAGGTAAAAATGGGGAATAAAAGCCCTTTGATGTTAATAGAGAGTCCAGTGAAAAGATTAGAGGTCTTTGGTGTATGATATGGCCTGTTACCCCTACAGAAGCTGTTCAGGGCTTAGCCAATCAGGGGACAGCTATTTGATGTGGTGGAGTGTGCCGCTATTTTGACAGAGTTAACAATGGGTTGATGTGTACACAGGGGGTGATAAGACCAGCCTCCCGTCACCTGGCCACGCGACTAACGTCACACTCCAATGAATGTCAACAAAGCCAGCCGACCAGGTAACAAAGAGTTGTCGCGTGCCGGTAATCCTAGAGCCCTCCTTCCTATGTCCTTGTGCCCGGCTGTAAACAACCATTGTGTGAGCACACATGGTCTGGGTTACTGCTGCCACATGCCCCCAACACCCTACCAACCAATCAGAACGAAGAAGTCATTGAAACAGAAAGCTGGTGTGTGAGGCCGGTGTACTTGGCACACGACTAGAACCCCAGAATTGGGGAAATTATCACTTCAGCTCATTTGTAGAGTTTAGATAGCTTAGGAGGGAGAGAAGTACGTATATCGGATATATCTGTCCTGGTGTGTCCCATCACCTGTCTGCTTATACAGGGCCACTACCTGCCTCACAGTTAGCGGTTAAATTCACTGTCACAAGTTATCCCTAATATACAGTTAATTAACATAGCTGCCTTTGAATGACCATGTAATTGTTCAATTTAATCTACATGGCATGTGAAATGAAACTTCAATTATTAAAAAATAAATAAATAAATAGATGAAATAGAAGCCCCTATAGGTATCCTGTACCATGTGTTGTTGCTAATCAGTTTAAAATGTCACCTTGAGGTTATATATTCCACTTTTAGGGCTTTACAAGCTGTTGGTAATCTTTGATATTATAGAAAGATTTTTTTGATATCCTCATTTATGTGCAACATATGGCATCAAACTTAGCAATTATGTTTAAAGTCCACGGCATATCTGGAAATAAATTCTACTCCTATTATTGATGGAGGGAGCTACCTATTGTTCATAAACATCCGAGTGAAGAAAAGGAGTCCTTAAAGTTGTATAAGTCATAAAATAAAACACAAAGTGTGTTTATGTGATCTGTGAACCAAGGACAGATGTGACAGACATTCCAAATAACTGTAGTTTAGAGTAAAGAAATCTCGGCATGAATAATTAAAATAAATTTGGCGCGTGCGGGTTGAAATATGAGGTGTTTAGAAGGGGTCCCCAGACAGATGCTGTGTGTGACAGGTGGGGATGTGTAGGGAATAACTGTACAGGTGTTCCCCGACACCTGTATCACAGATACTCATTACATATTTATATATATCGCCTCTCTGTAAGGGGAGCAATGACGGGGATACGACAGAGACAGGGATATCCTGTCAGTATAAGGTATACGTAGCAAATATAGCCGGAGGATTATGTTTAACCAAGCAGATAGTTTTCCCCTTTCATTAATGTAGCCATATTAAATGTTCCTTGATCAGCCCTTTTTCAGATTTCAAAAGGCACGCGTCCATTATTTATTCGATGAATGAGTCCATTTTTAGATTTCAGACGTTAAGTGGTCGAGTGCTGAATGATTAACTTTTCTAAAATAAAAAAAACATCTTATTAAGTTTGGAATGAGGGAAAAAAATGTTTTTAAAAGCATTATTTTTCTGAAATATTAGTACACTAATAATTTATTGTATAAAAAAAACGTAGGCTAGGTTTATATTAAAAGAGTAAAAATAATCTTTTAAATATTACATGAGATACAAACGAAGTTAAAATAAATTCAGAATAAAATTCTTTGCTAATCTCAATAATCTGTGATTTAAAACTTTTTATGTAGGACAAGATTAAGACAATTAAATCATCAGATACTGTATAATTACACATACTTACCTACAAAATAGATAAGGATTGTGTAGAACATTATCATCTGTTAATAATCAGCAATATGTCCCACTAGCTGTTTTAGGCTCTGTATCATTGGAGTGGAGTTTCCCGTCCCAGGAGAGATAACATGGCCGCGGAGATAACACAAAATCCAATAGGATCACTGATACAGTAAAAGTGTTTTTAATTTTAATTTTGATGCATCGTTAAGAAAGTCTGCCTTGGTAATCTGCAAAGGCATCGTTGTTAAAAGTCCTACGGGCTTGTACATATACCCCACATGTATTAGAAATTGGCTTTTCACATTTTAATTACAGATGGAGGTGCTACATACGACCTCTTTATCTGGAACTGTTGAACGGAAATGAACATGAGATTGTGTATCAGCACATTGTATACTTGGTAGATATGAAGGAGGTCTACCTTTTAATCACATAATTAAATTGTAATATACCTTTGAAAGCTTAAAAGAGAAGTACATATCCGCATGATTTTATCAAAGTATTATCGTTTTTGCAGGAAATTGTAGACTACATTTGCAATATATAATCAATTAACAAGCATTTGAGGTTAATTTTTAGGATATATAATTGTATTGATTAAGTTTTTATATCTTGTGTAAATGAACAGGTAGACATACTCTGTAGCAAGCCAGTTTGTCAAACTAGCCAGATTTTTTATAAAAAGATTATAACATTATATACAGCTTAGATGTGGAAATTAATACTAATGAGTATATAATGTATGTTTCAATAGTTTTTATTATATGTGAATAATAAATCTTACAGGATGATCAGGTAGAAATGTACACTGTTGCTGGACGTGGCAGTGTAGAGTACTCCCTAGCTCTATTGATCTCATAGGGGTAGGGGTAGGGTGTTACAGTTGTACTGTACAAAGTTACATAGCTGAGGTTGTCCCTCAAATTGGATTGGGTGTATAGTCATAGGGTACTTATCCTTCCTATAGTAATCACCAGGGTAGTTCCTCCCCACCAGCATTATTGATTACTGGGATAGTACCAGGGTAACCCCTCCCGGCTATATTGATTACCGGGGGTATTTCCCCCCTGTCCAGCTATATTGCTTACTGTGGTAGTAGCCCCCTTCCAGCTATATTGATTACCGGGGGTATTTCCCCCCTGTCCAGCTATATCAATTACTGGGGTAGTAACCCCAATCCATGACTATATTGATTACCGGGGTATTTTCCCCTTCCATGACTTCATTAATTACCGGAGATATTTCCCTCCTCCATGACTATATTGATTACCGGGGATATTTCCCACCTCCATGACTATATTGATAACTGGGGTATTTTCCCCCTCCCTGATTATATTGATTACCACTGTATTTCCCCCTCCCCGATTATATTGATCACCAGTGTATTTCCCCCTCCCAACTATATTGATCACCGGGGTAATCCCCCCTCCCTGATTATATTGATCAGCGGGGTAGTTGTACCTGTACATGTTTGTTACCACTCTTTATATAAGGCTCTGTCCAATAATCACACATCTGTCTGTATGTTTACATAATGGCCGGCCACTGATTCAGCCTGGAACGGTTTGTCCAAACGTGTCAGATGGATTTTTATTTCAATTTCCAGGGACGTTGAAGTAACATGATAAAATCTAACAGTTTGTGTAATTAGCGGACAATGGTTTGGTTTTTCAGTTAATTATGTTTAATTATTCTGTTGTTTGTTTTCGTGGTTGATTATAAGTCAGTTAAACATGGATCAAAACCAATTAAAGGTTTGACTATTTATGTAAATAAAGGTTTTAGGATCCTATTCAACAGTACATGTACAGGAAAAGGTCAGTTGTTATGTTGATATATGTTATAATTAGAATAGAAATTATCCTGTATCTTGAATACAATTAAAAGTTAACATTTTTATGAAATAATTTGAAAATGAAATCCTGCTCAAAATACACACAGCTGTTACATATATTATCAGGATAACAGTAAATAGTATACAATGATAGTGTACAGTTAGTAGGTAATGAAGAGTGAATTGAGAGGGTACTTGTTACATAAGGCAGGTGTCCAGAACTGGCTGTAGGTAAATATATATAACAGGTGTCTGGATTTGTGTATGGGGGAAATAGTGTTTGGGGAATGGTGGTAGGCTTTGTACAGAGTTTAAGATGATGGTGGTAGGCTGTGTATGGAGTTTAGGAGGATGGTGGTAGACTGTGTATGGAGTTTAAGAGGATGGTGGTAGGCTTTGTATAGAGTTTAAGATGATCATGGTAGGCTGTGTATGGAGTTTAAGAGGATGGTGGTAGGCTGTGGATGGAGTTAAGGACGAAGGTGGTAGGCTGTGTATGGAGGGATATGAAGTTAAGGAGGATGGTGGTAGGCTGTGTATTGAGGGATATGGAGTTTT